GGTGAGCGGGGCTGGCGCGCGGGGCGCCGGGGGCAGCGCGTGGTGCTGACAGGCCTCGGCCGGGAGAGACGATGGCCAAATGGCTGAATAAGTACTTCAGCCTGGGCAATAACAAGTCCAAGAGTCCCCCGCAGCCTCCCCGGCCCGACTACCGAGAGAAACGCAACGGTGCCGGCAGCGTGCCCCGCCCCGAAGGGCCTCCGCACCTCCACCTTCACCACCACACCTCGCCTGGTTTTCCTCATCGCCGCCTGCGCGACGACACCAGTGACCTGCTCCGTGCCTATCGCGCCCAGAAAGACCGCGACTTCGAGGACCCCTACAGCGGGCCCGGCTCGTCCCTGCGCAAGTTGCGCGCCATGTGTCGCCCAGACTACTCCTCACCCGAGGACCTGGGCGAGGCAGCCCCCAAGGCTTTCTCCTCCTCTTCATGCTGCGCCGCACCCCCCGCCACCTGCGCAGCTGGCTCCCCTCACCTCTTTCGCAGCCACAGCGAGCGTCGCCCGGCAACACCACCCAACGTGAAGTACATCTCCCCCAAACACCGGCTTATCAAGGTCGAGAGAGGCGGTGGCAGCGATGGCGCAGACCAGAAGCTCAATAAGGGCTCCAAGCAGCTGGCGACCTCTGTCCCCTCTGCCATGAAAGATAAAGTAAGTGTTGTGTTCCTGTTTCCGCCCCTGTAGACTAGGTAGTAGGACTGGGGCTATGTCAGTCCCTGGAAGGATTTTTGGTGTGGAGTCTAGCTCCTGTCTGAATGCATCTGGAGTGGCCACTGCTCTCCCATGCTTCACTGGGTGGCCTGGCCCCTTTTAATATCTTGGGGCAGGCAGGGCATGTGCAAGGCTCGCACATGAAGTGGTGGTGCCCTGTCCTCTGGGCTTTCAAACTCACCTCCCTCCTGATGTGGCAGGTTTGCAGGTGTGCCTAGCCCTCCTTTTGGGGCACAGTGCACTGCGAACCTCATGACTGGTACCAAGGCTCTTGGGTTGGCATGCTCCTGCAGAACAGGATGTGAGTCTCTGAGGGGGCGTTTGGGGAGCCCTAGAGTTACCTGAGAAGCCCCGTGCTTGTGACCCAAAGTTGTGGCCTCAGCCCCATTGCATGTGTATGGAGCAGTCATATACAAAAAATAATTTAAAAAAAAAATCTGATGCCATCTCAAGTTAGACCGCCTGTTTTTAAGGAGACAGTTTGTCATGTGTTCAGTAATAACTCCTTTGCCTCCTAGTTCAGTGTCAAAGGTGAAGTAGTTGAAAGTCCCGTGTTACAACAGCATCATAACTTCCATGATAATTGTGTTTCCAACTGACAGGTACCTGAAGCAAACTCTATATCTACTGGCTCAGGTGCAAGTGTTCTCCTATCTTTTACTGGTTGTTCTCTACAAATATTAACAAAATACTGTAGACACAGCACTAGAAAGTGCTGGGCTCAGGAACTCAGGTTACAGCTGGGAGGCTTTGCAGAGGGAAGTAGCATTAATTATTTTGTATCATTACATATAAATGTGTATAAAGCACATATCCCCCCACCTCTGCTGGTCCCGTGAGTATAGTTTAGTTTTTTCATATGTTGGAAATCAATATTTCTCCATTTCGTAAATTGGTGTTTACAACTTAATAGTCACATCACAGGAATTCTAAGTATGTGCTGGATGTTATCAGTTTAAATGATCTGTGTGTACATGTTTAAATACATAACATGATTGCATTGAGTGGTGACACATTTCCATGATAACTTGATAAATTATATCCTGTCTAGGTGGAATTCCAAGTAAATCAGCTTACGATGGTGATGATACAAGATTAAAAGTCTAGAATTTGTTGCATTCTCTGTCATTTTAGGTGTAGTTCCTGACTAGAAGCAACTTCTTTTGTGGAAGTGAATGATTAAAGTTAGAGTCTCACTATGTTACAGTCTCAGTATATTCAGTCTTCTTTCAACTGCCTGTGTTGATACCATATGCTGTATTTGCTCTTAGGCAAATGCTTTGAGCAACTTCATACTTCAGAGAAAATAACTGCTTGGGGCAAAACGCTTCCAAGAGCAACTGCTTTTTTTGGTGTTTTTTTTTCAATGGGGCATGGATTTTTTTCTAAATTATCTTTCCATTTTAGACTCTACTGAAGCAATTTTCAAAGCAGAAACTACATCTGTTGCTAGGTAACCTGCTACTTTGTGTGGTCATAAATCTGTGTGCTGCTCCCAAGCCCTTGTTGCAGATTCTAAAACTTGTTTTGAATGAGCAGCCTACAGTTTTTTTTAAAAAAGATACAGAACACTCATGTCATAGTCACATTCTTTCTGTTTTTGAGAGAGAGAACTGTATGTGACAAGCAGGAAATCAGCACGTTAACGTGTCTGAGAAATAAAATCGTCCCTACACCTCAAAAGGTAAGTGTGCCTGCCCCCACCCACAACAGAATTTGGTTGCGAGGAGCTACATAGCTTGCCTTTTTTTCAATTGTGTTATTTTCTCACAGTAATGAAAATGAAATATCTCTTATTTCACAGCCCTGAAATGTAACACCTGACAGGTGAACCTGGTAAGCAGTAGTCATAGTGGGCAGGCACAGAACTGCTTCTCTCCTACACCTGCCATTCACTGAGAAGGAAAAAATGAGGAATTTGGTTAACAGCATATGTCTAGTTCAGTGGCAAATAAAGCAAGTGGAAATAAACTTCTGTAAGAAGGATATAGTAGAGGGGACAGTAAAGATGGTATAAAAAAAACCGTAGGTGTCTGACATTCAGAAGAGTTGATAGATAGGTTAAACACTTTGAAAGGGGGAAAAAATCTGTGAGTAGCATAGCCTAAGCTAGTAAGTACCTTTGGAATGAAAAAAGATCTAGTTGCCATATAGGTCTGCCATCATAGAAATATGTTAGTGTTTAATGATCCAATAATGTTTGCTAAATGCTTGTGTTCAGTTCCAGCATCTCTGTTTTTTTTCTATTTCACATACAAGGATAGAGTGCTGTTTTCCTTTATGTGGTAACTGACCAGTGAGAAGTATGGTTTTCAACAAATTGAATGAGCAATTTTATAACTTTTGTGACTGGTCATCAGTAGAGAGTTGGCTGAAGAGCTCAGTTGTGTGTTAAACTTGAAAGAGTTACTAGAATGGGAAGGAGATTCAGTAAGGTGCTTGTTTGGTGTGGTTACTTATAAAGGACAAATGGCAAAGTATGAATAACGACAGACTGGTTAGTCGAAATTCCCAGGGGAAAAAATGATAGACTAGCTGATTCAGGGAGTAAAGGAGATGGAGATTAAAAGCTATGGCAGGCATGATTGTATTTTGCAAGATTCCAGGCATAGGTTGTAAAAGTAACCACAGAGATGTAATGTATCTGGGGTTCAGGAGGCTTTGATGTGTAGAGGTAGAAGTACTAACTAAAGTTGAAGCAGACAAACCCAAATTGCCATGCATCTTTAATAGTGAGGTGACTAACCTTTATAACAGATGCCCAAGGGAGAGTCACTGTTGCCAGATGTCTTTGAATTCAAATTGGTGGGTGGATTTTTTTATTTAGGTAGTACAATCAGGCAGGTTTGGGGGCTTTAACAGTGATGCTTATCTTCAAACAAGGGAAAGCAGGCTATGTTAGAATTCATGGCAGAAGCAGCTCAGTTCCCCTGGTATGGAGGATAAGAAATTACTGGCTTCCATCTTTAGTGCTGGCCTGGGAGACATTAACTGCTTAGCTCTCCTGTGGCAGACAAATGAGTGTAGGCAAGTTGAAACAACATGTGGCTATATGCCAGGACAACCTGGCAGCTACTGTATTTGTGTAAGAATCAATGTGAGACTTGGCTTAACATCAACTCAATAGACAAACCACTTGGTGAACTGGGGATCTGAAACAATGAGTTGAAGTCTTCCTGAGTGACTCTCCTCTATCTGGCATTGTGTGATATGTGTAAATCCATGAAAGTAGTAATAGTTGAGGGGAAAGTGTCTGTGTGAAGAGATGCTTTGTGTATTTTCTCACCTACTACACTTTTTTGAACCTAAACATCAGCCTGGCTTTGCAGCTGAAGAACCTAGAACACTATTCAAAGAGCAACTGTATCATACTCCATTGCAGGAAGTTCTTAGGATTTAAAAGCTGGGATTGTAGTGTACTTGTCCTCTAAAAGATAATTATTTCATAAGAAGCAGCGTTTTGCACTCCCTGCAGTGGAGGCAGAACTGTGCAGCAGTTCTGGATGTTGAATGCAGAAGACACCGTGAGTTGCAAGATCCATTTCCACAGGACAGGACATATCTGATGCTGTAGAAAATAGCTCAGTTCTGCACAGGCAGAGCTGATCCAGTGCAAAAGCATGTAAATGTCGTGTGGCAGCAGCAATCAGGCAGGAAACTGTTCAAGGCAACATAGTTGCTGACTTGATTTACAAAAGTCTGAAAACAATGTCTATGTGTGAATTCTACACTTGCATAAGGAAAAAACCCCACCCTTTGTTTCCATGGAATCCACCTCAGAAGTGAGTGATGTGGAGATCTGACTGCTAGTTAAGCATGAGGGCTAAACCTATTCGCCTTGAAAGCTTTCCTCCCATTATGTAAGAAACAAGTGCCTTTCTGACGTTGCAATAGACTATGGCAACGGTTTTTGAACTTTTAAGGTCTTGCATAAAAGTGCTTAGACTCCATGGAACATTATTAATATCTGTATATAATTAAAACCTTTTAGTAAACATTGGGAAGATGTTTGTCTTATTTCTGTATATGGTATAAGTTTTATTTGATCTTGCAAAGTGTCAGGTGTATTTAACAGAATCTTGCAGGTGGTATTTCGAGGTGCACAGAGAAAACACTTGAAAAATGTCTAAGCAGTGTTTGGGTTATTTATATCAAAGTATATAGTTTCTAGAGATTCCTAAACTACAGATGTAACTCCGTGTCTTATTCCCATGTTTAATCCATTGCAGCAGTGTGTCAGGCTGCCACTTTTTACAGTTGATTCTACTCTGAAACAGTCTTCCTCTCTGCACGTGGTTCCCATTGTCATATGGCTCTGTCTTTGAGTCAGAGGTCTCAAGAAAAAGATACCAGTGGCCACTGGTCTTGTGAACCTGCACAAATGGCTTGGGCAAGGCCACAGATAAAGGCAGCAAGCTACATTTTCTCCATGTATCTCATGTTGCTATAATGGATTTTCCCACATGTCAGTCTCATGATTAAGGGACTATCTCAGTCTTATTAATGGGAAGATATTCAGTTATTACCTGAGTCTGTGGAGTCTTAGTGACTTTAGGGCTGTTCAAAGTGGTGTGGTAGGCTGTTCAGTTACAAGTATACCTGGCATCTGCAGTGTATTGCACAGCTTGGAATAGTCTCAGATCTGGGAACCATCCAGAATTTCAGACTCTTGGACACAGAGAGATCCAAGCAGGGAAAGGTTATCAGGAAGGACTATGAAGCAGTTGTGAGGGAGGGAGTGGTAGTCTTCTGGAAGAGTGTATCATGAATATACCCTTGCAATAAGCAGATCCAAACCATTGAAAGAAAGTACCTCAGTTACTGGATTCAAGCGAGAAGACTGACTCGCCCTTTCTGAACTAAGATGTGCTTATTGAACTATTTACTGGGAGACTGTAACTGAAGATGTTCCACATGCCCTTATTCTGAAAAAGGCTAAT